TCATTCAAGGTGTGAACTCTGAATATACAACCAGCAAAACCCTAAGATTTATTCCTTTACTATAGCACCAAAAGCATAGGGCATAAAGTATTAGAGTCCGAATGAGTTACATTTTTTGTCAAAAATATATTTTGGAATAGTGTTTGATAGAGAATTTGTCGTTAAAAAATAAGGAAAAATTTTGAGTTTACGAATATTATTTTATTGAACAATATAAGGTTGAAAATAAGATAGAGAAAAATCTATTTTGAAAATATAAATTCCTAATCTTGCATTTAAGGTCCAAGGATACGTCTAAAAAAAGGTTTATATTTTGAAAATGAGAAAAAAAAACATAATGCAGCATACACGTGTACATTAAAGACTTAGTCGTCCCTTATTCCTTGTTTGGTCATCATTATTTTCAAAATATTTTTTTTTCCTTTTCACACATTTTTCAATAAAATAATATTACACGCAAATTCAAAATTTTTTTCTTATTTTTTAACAACACATTCTGCATCAAAATAATATTCTAACATACGTTTTGGACAAAAAAAAAATGGTGCTCAAACAGGCTCATAGTCTTTCTAAGTGAATAATTGTAAGAATAATCTGCAAGTGGAACTTATGGTTTGTTTATCATGACTTTTGAGAAATCAAAATAAGTTTTGGAGATTCTTTTGCATTCGGTTAGTTAATTTAAAAATAAATAAATAAAGGATCTCTAGTTAGAAATGTTTTTATAGAAAGTATGACGTCCAAAGTTGTTCCCTCAAAAAAAATCTTTCAAAATATAGAGTTCTTTTAGAAATTAATTTTCAATTGATTATTAAAATAACTTTTTTTAGAAAACTCTTTTATAACAAGTAAAAATTAAAGTATAAATAATTCCAAGCGCGTCCTTAGTGTTGACAAAAAGAGCTTAACTACATTCTTCTGTATCGGTTTAATCAATGAGCAGGAACTGAAGCGGACGCAAACATTTTAAGTTAAAGAGCACAATCAAATCCTATACAGACGAATACTTTGTTCATACTTTACCAGTGAAAACGCAAATTTATATTTAAAAACATTCATCCATTAATATTTTGTTCATCATCTTTATTCATTTGATTTCGAACAATCATTTTATTAACATTTTGTCTATCACAATAGAATGTATATTTATGTTTAAAGAATTTTTATAGTATATTTGATACAAACAATTAATTTGAGTAATGGAAAGGAGAAATATATAACCAATAACCAATGCTAATAATCAATCAAATAAACATAATTCATTAAATATAAGTCAAATTGGACATAATCATTATAAACACATTCTATATGCACAATTTGATAAGAGAAAATGCAAATTTAGATTCTAATTAGTTGAAAATTTGGTTGGAATGTGAAAATTTGTAGTAAATGTGATAATTTGTAAAGAAATTATAGAAAAAATTTAAAATATTAGAAGGGTTAAGATTCTGGTAAAAAAACGTGAGAAAGAGAGTCAAGAGAGAATAAGTGAAAAGAGAAAAAAATATAAATTTATTGTGATTTTATCCATGTTTGGTGGGAATTAAAATCGAATTTTTTATATTTTAATAAAATTTGAAAAGTTGTAAATCCCATAAAATATGTTATTAAAATTAATTGTTAACTTTGATTTAAATTTAAATTTAAATTTCATTCGATACAAAAATAGGACTTTATCCCCCAAAAAAAAAAAAATATTGCAAAAATAAAAAAAATAAAATAATAATAATAATAATAATAATAATAATGCAATTTACACTTGTACATTTAAGACTGAGACGTCCCTTAATTATTCCTTGTTTAGTCATCATTATTTTCAAAATATATTTTTTTCTATTCTTTTCAATCACACATTTTTCAATAAAATAATATTACACGCAAATACAAAACGTTTTTCTTTTATTTTTTTAACTGTACATTCTGTATCAAAATACTATTCTAAAATACTTTTGGACAAAAAAAAAAAAATGGTGTTCAAACAAGTTCATAGTCTTTCTAGGTGAATAATTGTAAGAATAATCTGCAAGTGGAACTTATGGTTTGTTTATCATGACTTCTGAGAAATCAAAATAAGTTTTGGAGATTCTTTTGCATTTTTTGCATTCGGTTAGTTAATTTAAAAATAAATAAATAAAGGATCTCTAGTTAGAAATGCTTTTATAGAAAGTATGACATCCAAAGTTACTCCAAAAAAATTCTTTCGAAATATAGATTTCTTTTAGAAATTAATTTTCAATTGATTATTAAAATAACTTTTTTTAGAAAACTCATTTATAACAAGTAAAAATTAAAGTATAAATAACTCCAAACGCGTCTTTAGTGTTAACAAAAAGAGCTTAACTACATTGTTTCGTATCGATTTAATCAATGAGCAGGAACAGAAGCAGACGCTGACATTTTAAGTTAAGGGGCACAATCAAATCATGTACAAACGAATACTTTGATCATATGTTACCCTTGAAAACGCAAATTTATATTTAAAAAACATTCATCCATTAATATTTTGTTCATCATTTTAATTCATTTGATTTCGAACAATAATTTTATTAACATTTTGCTTATCACAAGAAAATGTATATTTATGTTTAAAGAATTTTTATAGTATATTTGATACAAACAATTAATTCAAATAATGGAGAGGAAAAACATATAAACAATATTCAATGCTAATAATCAATTAAATAAATATAATTCGTTAAATATAAGTCAAATTGGACATAATCATCATAAACACATTCTACATGCACAATTTGATAAGAGAAAATGCAAATTTAGGTTCTAATTATTTGAAAACTTGGTTGGAATGTGAAAGTTTGTAGTAAATGTAATAATTTGTAAAGAAATCAAAGAAAAAATTTAAAATATTAGAAGGGTTAAGATTTTTGTAAAAAAAAAAGGTGAAAAAGAGAATAGAGAGAGTAAGTGAAAAGAGAAAAAAGTTCAAATTTATTGTGATTTTATTCATGTTTGGTGGGAATTAAAATCGAATTTTTTACATTTTAATAAAATTAAAAATTTTGAAAAATTGTGAATCTCATAAAATATATTATTAAAATTAATTGTTAACTTTGATTTAGATTAAAATTTAAATTTCATTCTTTTTCTTAAATATGACTTTATCCCCCAAAAATCGAGTAGATCCTTAACATTTAAAAGTTGGGGTACCAAATTTTAAATGTTAAGGATCTACTCGATGAGTGGTTATGTTATTTGTTATTCCAGTTTTTACTTGTATGTAACACTTGTATTCTTGACCTTTTTTTTCCTTCAAATTCTTATTTTTACCCTTTCATTAATTACACATCTTGTCGTTGATGAGAGTTCTATTTGTATCTATTTGTATTTAATATATATTTTTTAAAATTATGATGGACAAATAAGTCATTTTTCGTCCTCTTTCCAAAATTCTTGGTCGAAATCTATTATCAGAGACAAGTATATTAATTAAAAAAAATACTGAAGAGATATGAATGTGACGAAAAAAGTTGGAGACGGAAGTGTTGCATTGAACAAAGATTAAGGACCTTAAGTGTAATTAAATATTGTTCAACAAATTAAGTCACTGTTTGACTCTCTTTAAATTAAACTATTTATTTCTCTTTCTCATTTTTAATCATACATTCACACAATCAATTATTCTGCACGTAAACCTAAAATATCACCATATGCCCATGTTTGAGCTCCATTTTTCCAAATTATAATGAGGAAAATAGTAATTTTTTGGAGGATGTGTAGTTAAAAAAGGAGATTTTTTTTTTGTTTTACGTGTAATATTATTTTATTGGAGAATGTGTGATTGATACGAAGAGAGAGAAAAATGAAATTTAATTTAATGGGGACCAAACATGAGCATCGTGTGAATATAATTACTATTCAAAATATCTTTTTTTTTTCTTAATTTTTCTTAATCTCTTTTTATAATGACCATCAAGACTAAAAATGTTGTGGGAATATANACCATCAAACATAGACTAAAAATGTTGTGGGAATATAATTACCCTTTGTTCATTTTAATCCAGGGCAAAAAAAGGTGCAACAAAAAGCAAGTCCTTTTTCCGTATATTTACACAATTTTTTTTTTATTTTTTTTCAATCATTTTATCCCTTGGTGCACTTCATAACACCTCGGTTTCTTAGTAATGGTTACTCTATAATATTATTATGAGTCATAGAAAATATTACACTTAAGCAAAGAAAAAATTAGAGCTGCAGTTTACATTCCTTGATAAATATGGCACTCGTGCCTTAAAATTTTGATTAAACTCTCGTTTCATCCTCATTTTTTCCAAAAATACATTTTTCCCTCTTTTCTTTTCAATAATATATTTCAATAACTTCATTTTTAACAACACATTCTTCATCAATCTATTATTTCAAAATTCATTCTACACTAAAAATGGAGTTCAACCAAACCCTAAGTAGTCAAATACTACATTTTTCAAAGAATAGGAACTGCAACCATAATGTTCCCCATCAATTAAAGTTTATGAACCTTTGCTCTTTGTGCTTTAAAAATAGTTACCTAATATCCACTTCATTTATATAAATGGAGTCCAATTACACCAACACCTTCCCCACTCAACACACACCCCCACAATGCAACATGGTATGTGCCATGCTTTTGCACGATTTTTCTACCCCTTAATCTAGTGGAAGGTTCCTATGCACATAAAAATTGATTTTCATTTCAAAGATAACACTGAGACAATTAAAATTTTAGGGCAAAAGTACGAGAGAAACTCTAATCGTGCTTCAAGTTAAAGCCATATAAAAAGAGTCACAATTATAGTTTTTCATACGAAGACCTACTCATGATTATTAAATGCTAGCGCGGGTACATAAAAATATATGGTCAACCCCATCCCATGTTGACACTTGTTGGCTATAGAATAAATATTCAACTTCCGTCCAATTTCATTTAGGGGTGGTATAGTAGCCGAAGAACCCCCAATGCTAGAAATATGCCATTGATCCAATCATGATCAAGTTTTGGGGACACATTAGAAGTTGGATAAATGATTTTGAGAAGAATGTACCATCTGCAAATTTGTGGTTGTTTGGCATGAAATATCATCTCCGATTAAGGCCCTGGAAAAAATTTAATTAAGATAATAATTGATAACTAGATAAAATGGAGAAGAATGCTAACATAGAGGTATAGCGGTATAAGTTGATAGCTTACTCTCTTGGACGGGATGCCCATAAGGAACTTAGGGCTCGTAATCGACCATAGTACTCCCCGATCACCAAAAAACATCGCGCTGCTTGTCGAACAGTCAATACTCGGTGCAATTGATGAAGTGTTCGTTGTCTTAAATTATCAGCCTATAATTCAAAATTTACATAAAACTATCAATGAAACTCGAGAAGAATCATAAAGTATAAATATGCATACACTCACGGGCATCGATACAATAACAATTTAAAACTTATTCTTGATATATATAGTTTTAGACACAGTATCTCAAATCCGTAAATCGCAATTTTAATCAAACCCTAACTATCAAATAATCGAAATTGGGTCAGGGCCAAAAGTATAAAACTCGTGTAAATCTACATAATAACAAATTAAGTCTCGTTCTCAATAAAAATAATGCATGCTGCATTAATCAGTTTTTTCCTGTATTAATCCATGACTATCAAACAAAAATCAACATGGATTGATCACCGCAATGCAGGAGAAAGCTCCAAATAGATTTTTTAAGGGGTTGAAAACCCAATATTTGGACTATTGCAATCATTGATTTAAAATATAGGTTATTTTTCCAAGTTTTCAATTATTTTATTGACATTATTCCCAAATTTGCATTTAATAAAACTTTACTGATAGGCCTAGCAGGGGCTTTTATTTGATTATGCGTCACTTTCAAACAAGGCTTAATATAAAACACCCATCAATTTAAAGAAAAACAGACATTTCTAATATAAAATGCTTAATAATGACAAAAGCTTTATATATATATATATATAGTGGATGGAGTTTGGTTAGTGATAATCAAAAGAATATTGATGCATATTAAGCTCCATCGAACAATTCGATCCAGTTGAGACTCCAAAAGTGAGCATACGGATTTTAAGATTGGTCTGCTCAAACGAGCTACCATCTTGTGAGGGCATGTTATGGGATATAATCCCACATCGAATAAAGATGTCAACAAATATCAATTTATAAATGATTGAATTACTCCTCTTAATAAGGTTGACATTTTAAGAATGGAACCTCAATTCTTAACAAAAGCATGCTGCATTATTTTATATAGTTGACCTAAACCAATAAAAACTACCAAAATGGTATAAAATTTCTATCATTTGAATAGGTGATAGTTGATCCTGAAGTACCTCATCTAAACATTTTCAACGTATATTGAAGCATGCATAATTATAGGATTCAAGTCTCATCGTGACTACCTTGTAAAATCTCACAAGTCGGGTATCAAGACTACACTTTAGAGCATTTTGAAGACAACGTAGTTAAATAGATTTAGGGATAAAAATATTGTTAGTCTCCAAACTTATAACTAAGTTTTCACTTTGATTAACTAACTTTTTCTCATTCCAACTTAGTGACCGAAGTATCATTTTTGTCTATGTCACATCAATACATCCACCTTCGTCAAACGCACTAACGGAAAATCTAATGCGACAAATGACAAATATAACACAGACGTTAAAATTAGTTAGATTATATGCTTATAATATGTAACATAATTTACCTGACGGACGAAACCTTCAAGATTTGTAAGCTTGCCAAGTGCAATGGCGATATGGTGCGTGCTATCATTAATGGAACCACCGGCTATGGTATCGTTTAAAGATTGTTGTAGCTGTTCCAATCCCTGGGAGAGAGCCTCTTCTGCTTGCTCTGTGGACCGTTGGAGGCTGTAAATCCCCATAAGTTGCTGCTCTGTTAAGAGGTCTAATTGTGCTGATAACATCTGATCACCAAAATACAAAGGACAGATGACGTGATTAGAATAAACTGAATGCGACAGGGGAAAAGTGGCGAAAGAATTAGACTTGAATGCACAAGCAATGCCCTATATGCATGTTTGATATAGAATAAAAAAAGGAGTTAAAAAGTCTATTACTGTCGACTCATTTAATACTGCTTAACAAATGTCGACTATATGTCCCAAGTGTTATGCACGTGTGGTGTGTGAACCTCACATGTAGAGTGCTTAATCATGTCACTTGTTATAAATTTGATTAGGGATGGGAAATGACTTGTCTATTTACCATTGGAATTAGCTGTTCATCCATACAAGTCACAAGGTATCAAATACTAATGATCGGTGCACATAAACGAATAGTAGTAATATAAACAGATAAATAGTAGTAAAGTGAATTCAAACCTTGATGAGTTCAGAGGGGCGAAAACCGGCCATCCACAGAAAACAACGTTCAGCCGGAGTAGCCCACGTTCCGTTTATGAGATGAAAGACATCAGATTTAGCAGCAACTCCTTTTAGATGAAAAATTTCATCATAATGTGTCATGTATCCACCTAATATTACCCTGAGATCAGCATCTGACAACTGTGCTTGCAATGCTGTTCGAATTTCTATCATATGCCTATGATCATCGTCTAACCATCTTGCATATTCCATATCAAATATTGCAGCACCTGTAATAACATAAACAAGATATTGCCTTTTAATATGTTCATGTCATGAATGTTCTTAGAGTTGGTACAACAGATCGAAGTGATTTTTTTCCTAGAATTATCATTGCCCCTCTAAAATCTCATTAAATCAACTCTTTATTTCTCGTACTCATTTTCAATCACATTTTCACACAATTACATATTCTGCATGTAAATACAAAATTTTTCCATACTTCTAATCACATATTTTCCAAAAAAAAAATTACTATTTAAAACATCATTTTTCTCGATATCTCTTTATAATGACCATCAAACAGGGCATAATGTCATTTACTTAGCCCTTGTTTGGACTCCATTAATTTCAAGCTACATTTTTCTTTCTCTTTCTTTCAATCACATATGTTTTAATAAAATAATATTACACGTAAATCAAAAATTTCCCTACTTTTTTTAACCACGCATTCTTCAAGAAATCACTATTACAAAAAACCATTTTTTTCCCAAAAATAATTATAATGGAACTCAAACAGGTGCTTATTCTTTTTGCTTCTTTAGGCTTCCTATGCCAATTTACCTTGTTAAGAAACTTGCTCTTCAAGGTGAAACTTGCAAATTTTGTATTAAACTGGGACGACACATCCCAAATAAAGAAAATTAAGAATTATGCTACATGTATAAAGTTGGGTTACAAAGTTACTTGACAAAATAACATCTACACCATTCATTTTAAAAGCAAATTTTTAAATCATTAAAAATCAACTGTATGAATTTTGCCAACACACTTTGTAACCTAATTTTTGTAACTCAACTTTGTACAAATAGCTTTATTGGAAAATTAAACCCTGTTAAGATGAATTGTATAGGACTAAATTGTCTTTCTACATACAACAACTATATTTACTTTTCTCGTACGACAGTCAACCATGTAATCACGTAAAGTCAAATACATATTCTTTTCTTGAACAGATAGTTGACATTTGATGATTGCTTATGGAAGCGGCCATATTTTAGTCAAATGCAGAAATGATTCCATCTCTTTTTCAACGTAAAAGCCAAGAATAATTAGCTTTGAAATTTTGTTGTTTCTTAATTTGACCGAATTTTGAATTTTCAGAGGATTCGGATTAAAGGATGTTGCCTAGAGTCAAAAGTTCGGTTCATTAGTTGAAAAATCATTCTTTTTTTTTTTTTTTAAAAAGCCTTTTTTGTTGTAAAATGATTTGTAAAAGGCATTCTTTTCTAATTTATTTAAGTCAAAATCGACCTAAAAAGAACAACACAATCTTCTCTAATGGATCACAAAGGATTAGACTTACCAGAACTAATGTTCCCACCAGCACCCCCACTTCCTCCTATGAAAATTCCCTGCAGTTCATAACATTAATTAAGAAAAATATTTTAAAAAATCAGAAAATTCATTTCTAAAAAATTAAATGTTTTATTTACTTGTGAACGTGCTCTTTGAAGATCCTGCTCAAGCTGGCTGAGCCTTACCCTACTTGATTCTAGCTGCTGTACATAGGCCTGAACCAAAAAAAAGAAAACAATTTTAAATTTTGCCCTTGTTTGGGCTCCATTATTTGTCATTCTTATGATGAGAATAATAATTTTTTGGAGAATAAATTGTTAAAGAAAATAAAAATAAAATTTTGGCTTACGTGTAATCTTATTTTATTAAAAAATGTGTGGTCGATAAGAAGGGGGAAAAAAATAAATTTTAATTTAATGGGAAACAAATATGATTTGAAGAACAGTTCAAAATTTTCATATTAGTCCATTTCTAGTGTTGTAATGAGAAAGTGGTAGCCCCCACCTTTTTTCTAAGCCTGCTCTTCTTTGCTGCTTCCCTATTTTGAGCCAAACGTCTCAATGACTGACCAGCCAAAAAAAAAATTTATCAGCTTCAAGATTAATATTTTTCGAATTAATTGCGAATTTAAATAGATTTCAGTGTACTAAAAAATATATATATAATATAACAATATCTGCTAAAAACTATGGAAAATTGCCAAGATCTATGTGATATTTTCATAATTTTCTACGACTATTTATGACATGTTTGGTCCGCATTATTTTTTTCATTCTCATTTTTCTACTCATTTTCAACCACACATTCTTCAATAAAATAATATTTTTCATCACATCAATAACTTTTCCTTCTTTTTTAACTACATATTTCCCATCACATCAATAGTAAAAATACATTATTACCTTCAAAATGTGCACCAAACGAGGGCTTATAGAGTAAATCGTAAACATATGGGTTCCTAACCTTTTTTGGTTTTCCATTTAACTCTTTTTTATTTTGGGTAATAGAGTTATTTTCATTCTATATAGGGTTAAAGATATATCACCACGGATGATTAGCTCTCCCCTAGATAGCAGTCGTCCATTTAACAATGTTACCCTCGGCTATCACTTAAATTGGGTCCATTGGGACCAGCTCCCCTTCTCTGCGTAATTAAAAAATAATATTTTTTTTCCCACTCTGATATAGGGAATAGAAAATGCTTGATTTACTGTTTACAATAGTTATACTACAGTACTACTGGAGATAAAAAGGAGACCTCATTATTTTATAATATATATCACAAAGCACGAGTAACAGTTTTAACTACTGTAAAGATTCGCCTTTTTCATATATATCAGAATGAAAATAATAGAATCAATCATAAAATCAGAAAAATACTACCTTTTCTATTAGTTGTTGGGATTTGTGAGTTATTCAAGAGAGAGAAGATGCCACCATTTTTTCCCAGTTTTTGGGATTATGTTCAGTAGAACAGGTAAAATAAAATAAAAATTGTGGTACATGATACTCGACAATATTGATGAATATTACGTATTTCGTTGTATTCTACTATTCGACAACATATTTCCATTTTAATAATGTACAGTCGAGTGGACCCTACAAAAGTAGTGAGAGAGAGAGAGAGAGAGAGAGAGAGGTGTAGAAACCTTTTCTGAGGTTGGCTTGACAAGTGGTTGAGGCTGAGACATTCGTGTTCTCGGGCTATTACTTGCATTAGCCATCTCTACCTGTTGTGGTAGCTGTAGATAATGATGCATCTGATCAATCACTTGATGGTCTGATGAAGCAGCACCTTTTCTATCAACAGGAGACTCTGGTTCCAATCTGCTGCCCTCACCTCTACTTGAAAGTGAATGCACTGCTGATCCTGAATCAGCACTCTCTTCTCCTGATTTTGAACTTCCCTGTACAATTAGTTCACACACGGTGTCCAGAGAAGGTCAGACGATAGTAGACTTTAGCGAGTGGATCATAATCATACTGTTCATTTATTCCCTCTACGTGTAAAATATATAGACAGATGTTCAAAGAAAGGGAAGTACTCTTGGGGTATGATGGAACCTCATAGGCCAAGAAGGGAACATTTCCAGAGTTGCTGCTGGTCTGCCTGGGTATAAAGCTGCACAAAATCACAAAAGCAAAATCTTTGAGAAAGTTTAAGCAATTATTTTCAAGAACGGGAAAAAAAGGAAGCTAATCACTTTTTTTTTCCTTTCTCATTTTCGCAGCAGTTATTTGAAACTCCCACGCCATTCTAATGTTTTGCTCATGTATGATTTCTGTATTACAAAAAAGGAAGACAACATACGTTGTTTTGTATCATTAACTGCTTGCAGCATAATAGCCTCCTCCAGCTCTCCAAAATCAAAAGCAGGTCCTTGATTTCTGAAGAAAACCCCAAAAAAAATAAAAAAAGAAAACCCGTGTCAACCTTACATATCAAGTCCTAAGAGAGGGAAAAAAACAATATTTTGAAATGTAAAGAAATACATAAAGGTCCCGGTAGGAGGATGAATCATATGAGGAACTGCATAAGGGATATGACCCAAATCTGATAAAGCAGACTCTTCAATTCTATGACTCGCCATGCAAACACCTCCTCAGAACATTCTCGTACTCCGAAAAATGAAACCAACTGATACCAGAAAACAAAATCCAAGATAAAATATGATGTTTTCTTGTGTGATTTAAGAAGAAGATGAATTTAGCAACTTCTTTCTGGGATTTTCTTGAACAGAAGCTCCACTATGTGTAGCAAAAACTCTCTCTATCTATAGATATAAGTATTATACGATGTCTCTTTAAAGTGTCTCTATCTGCTGCTTTTTCTCTCCTTCTCTCCGAAGAAAACTATCTGATTATTCTGATGGGGCTTGCTTTTTATCTTCTGTAGTAATCAGATTTCAATCTCATCCCTTTGTACAGAAATCCTTGTCCTTGCAAAGCTGTCTCAGGGCCTCGAATTTTGTGGGGTTACAAACAAAAATAAAAAATAAATAACTAAAACAAAATGAGAATTATGCATAAATAAAAACAAATAAATAAAGTAGGATCATTTGTAGGAAACGACCAGAACCAGTGACTCCTACTCCACTCTCTCTCTCCCCTCTCCCACCATGAGTTTTTCTACTGATTAATGTTATTTAACGCTGTTAATATTTAACGTTAGTTTAGATAACAATACTAATGATATTAAATTACAAGTTGAATTAAATAAATTATATGATTTCACCGTTAATTAAACCTAATACGCAATGTTGTATAAACAAGTATTCTAGTACGACGATGTTAGATAGTATTATTCTATTCTATTGGTGCATTTTGTGGGGACTCTTCAGAGCTATGAGTACTATCATCGAATAGGATTTAATGACGTTTGAATTTTTTATTATATATACGGAATTTAAATATCTTGTACATTTATCTCATCTATTAGATATTTTAAAAAAAATAATGCTATGTAGCATTACTACAATTTAGCATTCTTCTAAGTGTTGTAGAGTCCAATCATTTATTGTCCAATGAATTGTAATACATTTTCATTCACTTGAAAAATGAATAAGTTAATTCTTTGTCACATGCATAGACTCATGTTAAACATTAATAATGCTACGTAGCATCATTCACATAAAGATAAATAAATAAAAATCCAATCATTTATTGTCCAATGAATTATAATACATTTTTATTTACTTGAAAAATGAATAAGTGAATTCACGGTCACATATACACTGGTGTTAAGCATTAATAATGCTACATAGCAATATTATTCACATAATAATAAATAAATAAAAACATTAGGATATTTCACAATTACATTATCTTGCTTTAATATTCATACTATGAGCTTGTTTGGGGGCCGATTATCAGCAAATTTTAATGAAAATTGTTAATTACCGTTATAATTTGAAAAGCAACCGCACTAATTTACCGTATTTTGCAGAATTACCAATGTACCATTTTGACATTTGATTCACTTTGTTTGGAAGAATTACCAAATGTTTAGTCAAAAATCACGAATGGAAGGGACCCACCCTACATTTCCAACGGTCCAAATTTGGATTAAAATTTTG